GAGGCTACAAAATTAGATGACTTCATTAAAAATAAAACAACAGCTGAGGATGTTTTGAAGCCAAGTGACTAGGTTACAATGTCCCGCTAATAAAACTGTATCTGTGATGACCACAGAAACACATGAGTCACTGATAAGGTGGCCCTAGTTTGGGAACACGAAAACCAGAGGAAAATGGTAGCGAGCTCAAAGGAAAGAATTTATTGAGCAGTTTCCACTGTGTGTCCTAGATTACTGAAATATGATACAGCTGGACTCTAGTGTAAGAATGGTTGTTTATAACACCCTGGCAACTTGAAACTTTGTGATTCCAACAATGGCATGAACTGACTGATAACTTTTGGGTCATATAATCACAGTGATTCACCACTCTGCAGGAAGGTGTTTTTAGCTCATAAACAGATTACCAGTGACCATTTTTATCTTCTACCTAAAATAATAGATTTACAGTCTTGGTATCACACTATATTAAAAATTACAAAGCAGGTTTTTCGTCTAAAACCTTAAAGTTTTTAGTCTAAAACCTAAAAATTTTATTGTGAAATAAAACTTCACAGCCATCATTTTATTTCTTCTTGAACCAGGGTTTTTTGGGGGTTTTTTGGTACTGGGGATCGAACTCGGGTCCTTGCGCTTGTGAGGCAGGCAGGAGAAACACTGAGCTAAATCCCCAGACTGAACCACTTGTTTTTGGATACTGGGGATTAAACTCAGGACCTTACACATGCTAGGGAAATACTCTACCTCAGAGCCATATCCTGAGGCCTACCACTCTTTTTCACTAGTAAAACAATAATTGTCATGGCCTTTCTACCTATTCCTGGTGCTTGATAAGTCTTACTGTCTTGTCTTAGCCTGTATTTAATACCCTTTCTTTTATCACTGCCTATTTATGTACTCTTTGATGCATCTCTCAGAGCTAACATCTCTATCCTCACGTTGGTCCACCCACCTCTAGGTTATGGTCACATTCTATTATTATTCTAACCTACTCTTTGATCTATACCTCTCTCATCTAGACCATTTCTTTGTTTTGTTTTGTTTTGTTTTGTTCTGGTACCAGGGATCAAACTGGGGACCTTGTGCTTGCAAGGTAGGCACCAGAACCACTGAGCTAAATCCCCAACCCGTAGACCTTTTCTATCTTATTAAAATCTAGACTTCATTTCTAAGATTAACTTTCTTCTATGCTATTCCAATGAAATTGCCTTATACTTTAATATATAAACTACACTGTCTTAATTGTCTGTGAAAACAAAATACCTTTAAGATTACCAGTAATACTGGTCTCATTCAAATCTTTGCTTCTAAGTTCTTAGAAACATGTTTTATTACTCTCACACCATCATTTTTTATCAAGTTCTACTTTCTTAATACCCACTTGTGTGATCTTTCCTCTGTTTTCGCCCTGGTGCTTGGCTGCTTACATTGTTCCTGTGACAGGTCATCTTTTCCTCTAACTGCTCCATTAAAAATTTTTTATTTTTAGGAATCTGTCTAAATTTTGCTTCTCTTTTCATGTATTTTCTTATTTATTCACTGCATCACTGATGGAAATGAAATAAGACAATTACAAATCTTGTCAACTAAAAACTTTAGAACAAACACACACAAACATATACAATAAAAGAAAAAGCTGATTTTATAACCCAATGACCTTGTATCAAACTGCATTCTCTATGCATAACCCAAAACTTCTATCACTGTCTATAAGTCAGAAAATTATATTTGTTTTTGTTTTTGTGTTTTTGGTACCGGGGGTCGAACTCAGGTCCTTGCGCTTGTGCAGCAGGCAGCAAAACCACTGAGCTAAATCCCCGGCCAGAAAATTATATTTGGTATGCCCCACAATAAATAGAATATTATGTATTGTAAATATGTACTAATAAAAAAATTAAAAACTAATGTACTACATACATTAAATTACTAAAGAAAAAAAAGATTGGAAGTATAAGTATAATCCATGCACACGTGTTAAAATTACACATTGCTCGAGAGTTTTCCCTCATAAAAGTAAAAACTTCTGCTCAAAAGGTAAATATATGTGTATGTATGTATGAAGGTAAAGCATAAAGTAGGCTTGCTCCTATTATTTATTAAGGGCTTTGGTGGAAGACCAAAACTTTAGAATTCAGCCTTGATTTTTCAAAGTGAATCTTGGGCTATTAAACTGAACATCCCACAGGAATAAATGAAGAAGAAGCTAACAAGAGTCCCAGGGTCAAGATTAATCATCCTAACAAATGCCACTTGAATAGTAAAGACAGACAAAGAAGGTCCTCTATCAAACTACTGTACTATAGCAGGGAGTGGAATGAGAGGGGAAGGGACTAGAGATGAAGGAAAATGTAAAACAGAACAAGAAGAGACTAGTACAGTGGTACATGCCTGTAATCCCAGCACTCTGGGAGGCTGGGCAGGAGGATCACCAGTTCCATCCCAGCCTCAAATAAAAAACAGTAATTTAAAAGGGGTGAGGATGTAGCTCAGTGCAAATGCCCTGGGTTAAATCTCCACCACAGTAACAACAACAATAAATAAATATATACATACATATATACATAAAAAGGAGGCTTTTTAAGATCTAATAATGACACATGCAAAGAACTGAGAGATATAATTAAGACAACTCTCTATACCTGAGGACAAAACAAACCCAAACAATAGGACATCTAGGGAAGCAACAAATCAAATCTTCCCCTAAATCCCAGAGAAACAATTCACCATCAAAATACTTCTGATGGAGCTGGGATGTAGCTAAGAGATAGACCACTTGCCTAGAATGAGCAAGGCCCTGGGTTCAATCTCCAGCTCCAAAAAAACAAAACAAACTTCCGATATACAATTACAAAATGACACAACTATCAGTCTTTGGGATCAAAACTAAATGAAACAGGGCCAGGGATTTAGCTCAGTGGTTTCGCTGCCTGCTGTGCAAGTGCAAGGACCCGAGTTCGATCGCCAGTACCAAAAAAAA